CAAAGCTTAGTTATATCAAAAAGAGGCAATTCAATTTCAGTAGTTGTTTTGCATTGCTATTGGAACTAGCTTCTTGCAGATTTGTGAGAGAAAAACTAAAGCTACAGGCATTTTCTGTACCAGAGTTAGGGTACATGAGCAGAAGGTTTGTGTGTACACTTATGAAACCACAGGGTCCTCTTGGTGCACACAGGCCCCCATTGTCTTTTGAGGATATTAAACACAGGCATCATGTATAGGCAATCATACTGACTCTGATTTTATTTTGAAGTTCATCTGAATAGTTTCCAATTTTAAGACAACAAAGATCTGAGGCTGAAAATAGTGACAACCAATTGTCAGCACCATTGACAAACTGGGATATTTTGTAAAAAGTCAGAATTTTTTCACTTCAAGTTTATAAAGGGACTTATGTGTGTCCTTATGAACCAATTTACTCAGATTATAATGTCAGCATTCACAACATCAATAAAAATAGAGCTTTATAATACAACAATGGGCAGAGTGCCATTTTAGTAAATCAGAGAGGTGTGGCATTTTCTTTTCAGCAAGTTATTCTCAAACAAAGGTCACTATAAAATCATTCTCTTAACAGACACATGGGAGGGAAACCTAAAATGACCCTACAAGGATTTTAATTGGCATGTGGTAAAGACCTAGTTTGGTTTTCAAGTACAATAATTTTGAGTGAAACAGAAAAGTAGTAATTTTTCTAGTTAAATGCTTCAGGTCTGTGATTGGATAGGTTTCATAATCTTCCATAATGGACATTAAAAAAACTAAAATAAAGACAGAATTATTGTTAGTCCACTAATATGATGATAATTGCTTTTACATGGAGCATGCCAAGGATATTAAATTAAAAAAAATAAAAAAGAAAGGAAAATAATTAATGCCAAAAGTTTATTTTAAACAAAAAAAATCCACCAAACCTATGTAAAAAGTTGGTGTTTTTTTCCCTCTAATGAAATGAGCTCTTTACATATAAATTATATTGTAATAACAGAGCTCCCTGGTGGAAAAGAGTTCCTTCTCCTGCTGGCAAAAATTAAGATAATCACAGATGGCTAATGATCAAAAATACTGACTGACAGCTCTGAAGTACAAGGCATAGATAATATTCTCAGAGCTACAGTTTATTTATACTCAGATCTGGCTTTAGGCACCCACAAAAATGTGCATTTGTGATGTCCTATTATAATGGAGATTTTTTTGGTCACCAGTCCCTGTTGCCAAGGTTTTTCCTTAAGATTAAACTGATCACCATGATTTTTTTCACCAAAATACTTGTGTTTCAGCATATCAGTTATTTAAAACTATCTGTAAGTAGCTAAATTTTCTTAAACATGTAGACCATTATTTTTAGCAGCATTATAATTAAAATATGTATTTTGAGTTCTTATAAATATTATATACTTCAGGGTTTATATACTGCAGAAGTCAGTGAGGGCAAAGAGATGGTACTGAAAATCACTTGTTTCTTGTATATGAATGATGGTGTACAAAGGGACTGGTTTTTTTGGTAGTGTTCAAAAACCTATAAGGAGTTTGCTCTTGCTCCCACTTACGTTAGATGAAATGTTTACCTGATTCAGCCAGGAGGTGGATGACCTTATAGGTAATTCTAGTTTTCTCAAATGTTTCTTAATTTTCACTTTACAGCTCCTTTAAAAACTTTGCTAAACATTTTGTGGAGTAGAAACCTACCTTTAATTTCAAGGCACTGTGATTTAGGCTGTGATTGTTATATTCTTTCAATACACATTCAACATGCAACAACAATTGTTTTTAAATAGAATGTCTGCCCTATTGAAATAGAATTTCTAGCTCCTATAATGTAGACAAAAACCTGAAAAAATATTACAGACCCATTTAAAAAGTTTGCTAATAAGAATGCCAATATTAAGTACACCCAAAGAAATTAGCAATTTTTTATGAGCAACATTTCCCATGAAATATTATGTAGCAAAGGATATCTGAAAAAGTTTCCACTCTTTATCCATTTAACTTTCAGGTACATATTGAGAAGATGGCAGGAAAAAGAACAAAGTTCATTGAACTGTGGTATTGATTTTTTTTAACTTCAGCAATCGGGAGAGAGAGAGGTGCTACTTATGGAAAAGCTACACAAAATTACAATTCACTGGACACCATTGAATGTAGAAAGAAATTTTCAAAATCCAAAATTGTAGGAAAACCTACAGTCAGAATTTGCACTTGCTCAGACTCTGCAGCTCATCCTCACAAGCAGCATAAACAAGGCTTCATTAATCACAGAGCTCCCGGAAATACTTGCTTAATAAACCTTTTGATTTTCAGCTAAGTGTGATTTTTGGACATAGGCTGAGGATTCTCGTGCTGACAGCAATAACCTTGCTGATATTGCATAGTCTCAGATTTTAATACAGGTTGACTTTCTTTTCATTCAAGTGTCTGACTGGACCCCTGCTACCCGAGCTGGAAGCTCTGGGTGTAAGGAGCACCCATATATCAATGCAGCTCCTGTTATGCCAGAACAGTGTAAATTTTACAATGGCAGGCAATGTAGCTGGAGTAATAAGTAATACCAACTTTCCCCATGCAGACTGTATTTTTGTAGCTATGCTGAGCTTCATCCCAACTGAAACGATTTCAGCAAGTTATTTCATCAAAACACATGCGCAATTTATGAGTAAGTCTGTGACTTACTAGCATTCTAGCAGCAACAAATGTATCACAAATTACTTCTTAGGGTAAAACCTGGTATACAGTGTTACATTAACAACTCAGAAGTCAGTAATAAGAAAGAGAGGGAAAGAGAGTGAGAGAGACTGAGAGAATTTTATTTTTTTTTTAATAAAAGAGGTGTTAGGAGCTACAGGGGCTTCACAAACCAGCACTTTTTAAGACCATGTATTCATTCTACCTCCTTTGAAACCCAGTTACAGCTAAGTGAACTATAACAACTAAACTATTTCACTGAACAACAATAAACCAAAACGAGTAGAAGTACTAAAAGCATGCCTGAGGCAACAGAAACTTTTGTGTTAATTTCCATCTCTTTCAAGTGCGTTTGATGAATGATGTGACAAAAGAATCCTAATTAAAGTTGAAATCCTGAATACTAAATAAATTAGAAGTGCCACTACATTCATCTTCTACAATGATAATACTGCTACTTCTACTCCTTCTCTGTGCCCCTTTGCTTACATCTGTGGCAGTAACTCAGCAAAGGGCACTGCCAGCACAGATGGGGAAATGGATACTCTTCCCCAAATGGAGAGATAATTGGACAGGCTGCTTTGTTTCCCTTCACTGCCTTCAATTTACACAAAGAAAGCCTACCAGGAGCATTCAAAGTATTTTTAGGTATATATTTTCCTCTCAATGATTTAAAACTTGACAAGTGACACTACACTATCTGGTCTTTAGTAGCACTAGAAAAGTTGCTATGTTTATGGCCATTAAATTTTTATTTCTTTTATTACTGGAGAATCATTAAGTATATATATACTTGGAGTAATATATAATCCTAATGGGTTGGAAAGCAACACTGAAGGGATGAAATTCTATGGCTTGTGTCACACAAGCCAAGCAAGACAATCATAAATGACCTTAAAATCTATGAATCTTTCAAGGAGCTGCCCCATTCAATAAGCAGACTGGAACATGAATTATGACTCCCAAGAGACATCCTTTCCTTGCTCCCCTTTTGTTCCAGGGAGGAACTCTGAAATACTTCAGGAGAAGTTTATATCCCCAGCCTGTCCAAGCAGTAGACTTGTCTTTTTCTGTTCTCTTTCCACTCCTCCAAGAAAGAGGGCTGTCAAGGGAGGAGACCATTCTGTTCCCACCACAACTACACTCAAAATCTGCCAATGCAGACAAAAGTGGTGCTTCAGTGTCTCCAAATCCCAATTGTACTGTCTAACGCCTGTGACAAGAAAGGACCTAAAAGGCTGTAGTCAATCAGGGACTCAAATGGGGGGCATGTAGTCCACTCTCTCAACTGTGTCAGCACTTAATAATGCCTGCCTGTCAGAAAAAAATGTAAAAACATAATAAACATTTAATGATATATCTCCAAATTTTTCTCCCATCCCATAGTAATTTATAGCAGATTCTGATTCAGAGTTCATACATTTGTATTTGAAATCTCATGATGTACCTCACATGCACAGAACACACATAACTTGACTGACATTGTTAAACATTTCAACACTTCAACTACATAGGTCACACAACACCAAGTGTCTTCTTTTATCTTCTTGCAGTGATATCACACTTCTTGGCTCCTTTTAAACTATGTAGTTTTCTTTGTATTTTCAGAATTACAAAAAAAAAAAAAAAACCCAAAAAAAACCCAAAAAACCCCTAAACTTTAATTTGAGGTTTTACACAAGTTTTCAGATTTGTTATATGAAATCCTTTTTTTTAGAGGAAATTAAAGGGAGAATTATCTTAATGAAAAGGATAGATTGCTTGCTTGTATCTGAAAGATTTTAAGACCTGATTTTACACCTAATCTAGCTCATGACATTCTAATTAACTACATTTTTTATTTATTTAAAGTACTGTGAATAGTGATCATTTCAGTGATCAGAGTGGAATGTTGGGCTAATTATTCTATATAGGTTTCTTTATATCGGTTTAATAAATTGCCTAAATAGGGGAGACATGCTGAGATACATATTATGTCATATTATTTATGGAAATGCCTATCTTGCACATGAACAATTGAATATTTGCAGCATCAGCTCTTGAATTTTAACTTTGCATTCTGTTACTAGCAGTAAAATATTTTGTTTTAAATACAACTCAAAGTAAAGACAATTTTCAACCCATCTTTAAAAATGCACAGAATAACTAATTATCTTACTAATTCTCTCTCACACAAACACTTTGTGATACAAGTATGCAACTTGGATTTTCGTCTATGCTTAGAAAACCCAGTTTGACAGGTAAATATCAGACTTCCATTTTTTCCTGGGTTTTTGAATGACTTAATATGTATGTCTTAGGGTGCAGGTCAAGGATAAAGAAGACAAGCAAGAGATATTTGAAAAATAAATGTTTGGAACTTGAGAGCTTAGTAACTGACATGTCTGCTTTGCAAGAAAAAAGTGAACTCGAACAGGATGGACTTCTCTCAACTAGCAGGATGGACTTCTCTAAACTAAGGTAAGAAATTAACTTGGAAATTTAACTTGTCTTTTATCATTTGTGTTGCAACAGAGCTTAACAAAGTCACTGCAAGCTTTCCTTTCTTAGGGATAGATTAGGTTGTATTTGGCCTTCACCACCACTTTGACTTCATTATCACTGACCTTGATCCCTTCTGCCACTGTCTGCTGTGATCCTTGGGGATTAACTGCTCAAAGGTTATTGACTTACATACGTGTATATGAGTTGGCATCTCTGCGTTCTTAATAATTGATTGTCAAAGCACTTTTGCACCATGCACCTCGCTTTTTTTGGCAGAACAAGTGCCCTTTCTTAGCTCAATGTTCAGCTACTCTTCTTTGGGGCATGTGAGTGCCAACTGACGTGATAAAGCATGAAAATATAAGCTTGTCAGTAATGACCCAGTTTGTAGCTGTCAAAACACTTGGCTAAAAAGTCAGAGAAAGCTTTTCAAATTCTTTTGCTGGTTTTACGTGGTGTTTTCTGGATTGTTTTTTTTTTCCTTGGGTCTATCAAAAAATGCAGCAGAAACCATTTTCATTAAGAGAAGTCTAGATTTGGCTGAGGTATTCAAAGGAATACATCAAGAACTGGAGAGGAAAAAGTTATTCTGTTCAATATTTCCAAACATTCAAACAATCTGAAATGAGTTGTAAAACTATGAATGAGAAAAAAAAAAAGAAAAATAAAAATTTATGTCTAATCAAGATTTATGTTTCCTATAAGCATATAAGATAGAGGGGTGTTTTTTTAAGTTTGTTTATTTAAAAATTTTGTTAATTTTGAAGGTTAGAAAGTTTTGCCAGGCTGGCAGGCCTTACAAAAACTCAGCCAAAATTATAGTTAGGTTTGTTGGCTGGGTTTGGGAAGTTTGTTTTTTCTTTTTATTTTTTAATTTTTAAACTGCCCCATTTTCAGTGGTTTTATTGAAGGATTGTCCACACTACTGAAGGCCAGATTACAAAAAACTAGTGGCCTTGAGTGTTGATTAAGCTTAGAAAATAAGGTTAACTGAACACAATAATTTGTTATATTTTTTGCACTCACCAAAATATAAGAACGGGTTTCTTAACTCAAGTGTTTTTTTCACAAGGGGCTCTGAGACATAGAACATCTTTTTGTTATCAGACAATATTTTCTGGAGCTGTAGTGTGCTATTGTCACCGTAAGATAAATCTGTAACGTATTGAACAGAGTAAACTGTTCCTGTTGTATAATGCTTCCCTATCTCTCCAAAGGCTTGAAACATCTTTTATCACAACAGGGGTAAATTTGGATCTTTTATCAACTAGTTCAAAAAAAAGCATTCCATTTAAATAATGTGTCTGGAACCGTAGTCGATGGAGATAATCAGTAGCTTATTAACCTTAATCATAACAACACATTATCACTATTGGGTTTCGTGTTGACTAATTTGCAGAACAATGTGGAAGAGCACACTCAGCACATAAGACTGTTCCTAGTTCTTGGCACTGCATAAATACAGTGACCCTCACTTGAAATGTCACAGACTTAAGAAAAAGCTGTATCATATGATGAAGGAAGAGAGTCGGGGAAAAGAGGATCATGTAATCAGAGAGTTAGTTAAAAAGTAAACACTTGTTAAACCTCTGGACAAAGTGAGACCATCATCAAACAGATACCAAGAGCACAGAATAAAGGTCAGTTACCTTTTATCATGTTTGTGTAGCTTCAGTTAAACTAACAAGCAGCAGCATGTGCTTAGGGTCATAGTTAAACACTTTTGCCTTGATAAATGAGCTGTGTATAAGGTGCTTCCCTTTCAAGAGCATGGACATATTGGAACTCTGATCTACAAAAAAAAAAGACATCAGAAAAGGAAGCAATTTACCTGGGGGCAGAAATCAGTAGTTTCAGTTGGTAGAAGGAAATGAGGAAATAGTAACATGTCAAATAGTAAAATAATAATAAGTCAAACAACTAAAATGAACCAGAGAAACCCCAAAAATAAAACAGATAACTTCAATTTTGGGGAGTGAAATTGCAAATTTTTTGTTTCCAGATTTCTCAAAATCACCAAAAATGCTTTGTGTTGAACTATTTCAGTGTTAAAGGTACATTTCCTCATAACTGCACACTTCTTGTGAAAATTCTTGATACTGATGATTTTAGTATTTTGTATGAACCACACGTAAACCTACTACTGAGGAAGAAATATAACCATAAGTCTTACAAGACATTTAGATGTCTCCATCCTCAGAAGAGACACCTTCTAAGATCATGTTATATAATATGGTGTATAGACCATGGTATAGAACAGTTTTGCTGAGTTCATTCAAAAAATGAATTTTTAGAAGTATTAATTTCTTAGATGCTGTAGGACTACACTATTTTCGGTGGGGAAAAATGCTAGAACTGCAATGTACATGTTAATGGCATTACAACAAAATAAGTTCAAGAAGTTTTAGGTTCTGTATTATGAAAATAACTTCCCTAAAATTTTTTACAAAAAAAAGTTAGGTGACAACACCCCAAAATTCATTAGAACCAGTTCTACTACATTAAACCAAAAGAAACAAGAAAATCTTCTGCCTTTTTTCTGAATTATGCTATGCCACTGTACCTCTTTAAATGTATACTGCAGCTTAATAATTACTGTGCCACAGCATAGCAACAGTGTCCTTTCATGATCTGCACTTCATTTGATAATGTGAATGTGCAAACTTCAATTGTCCAGAGCACTCACACAGAGTAGGATTCTACTACAGGCTAAACTTTTTAATGGTCATAGAATGGCTCAGGTTGGAACAGACCTTAAAGATCATGAATACCAGCCTCCCTGCCATGGGCAGCAACATATTCCAATAAACCAGGCTGCTCAAAATCCCATGTAGCCCAGCCTTGAACACTTCCAGGGGTGGCCATCCACCACTACTTCTCTGGGCAACCTGTTCTGGTGCTTCACCACCCTCATAGTGAAGAACTTGTTCCTCATGTCTAATCTAAACCTGCCCCTTTTCAACTTAAAGCCATTACCGCTTGTCCTATAAGTAATGCAATAAGTACCTCTCCAGCTTTCTCATAGACCCTCTTCAGGCACTGGCAGGTATCATATCATTCTCTTCATCAGCTTCAAGGCCCTCCTGTGGGCTCACTTCATCAGTTCCACATCCTTCTTATGTGGGACATTGTCTTCACACCTGGACAATGCTTGGTTGTACCTGTTTCCATGATAGAGAGAATGGTACCAATGTGTTTATGCTTTGTTAAGAGTTCAAAAGTTGTTTGCTGTAAATCACAGTAGGATATCACAGTGGCAGTGGTGCTGCAGCCACTGAATGTTAAAGAGTCCTAAAATTTATTTTTAGTAGCTCAGTTTGTAAAGTTGAAAAATAATATAGACCGACTGTTCTTCAGGTGTCATACAGAAACAGCAAGTCATAATATATTCAAAAATCTTTATAAAAACAACTAGAAGCAGTTGTTCTTCCTTCAGAATAAATTTGTTTTAGTTAACTTCTCTATGCTTATGTTCAACTACAATAGTAAAAGATGAAAATTTCTCACAATATCAAATCAGTTTGAAAATCTTTAGTCCATGTTCTGATATTAGAAGAGCTGAATTTACAATGGAGAGGATTTCAACAAGAATTTATTTGACACAGTGCATAAAAATTTTCTAATGGATTTTTTTAACAAAGCAAGAAGTAAAAGAGGATGAGAGAGGTAAGCATACAGCAAAACTAAGTACAGTGACTAATGCTGATGAAGAACGTAGAACCTGAGAATGCTTTCAACTATAAAGTTGAAATGAAGCTTCAGTCAGTCATTCTTGACCAAAATCATAATAATGAGGTTTGGGACAGACTGAGAATGAATTCAACAAACTTCATTATTTCAGTCATACAGACTCACAGCGCTGTAAATGAAATTATTGCCTTTTTGTGTCATAAATGGTGCAGTTAACAAAGGCTGTAGATCCTAAAACTTGTCCATGTTTTCCTACTAGCTGCATAGCTCTCTGAACTAACAGGATAACTGTGCTTTTTTTCCAACATGCCATTGTCCTAGACCTCAGTTTTATGGTAAAATACCCGATAAAGACCTGCAGCAATTTGGGTTCTAAATCTGCTAGGCACTAGACAGCAAGAAACCCCAGTAATTCACACAGGCCATGGGAAAGGATTGAGAGAGAAATATCTCACATGCACTATACATGAAAGGACAGTGATTCCACAAAAAAAATTTAGCTTATCCCATATAAACAACAGCTTGCAGATTTGGGACACTAGAAGCAACTTCTTCATATTTTTATATGTAATAAACATATACATGTTTTTATATTCAAAATATTTATATATTTCATTTATAATGCTTATAAACAATCAAAGACATCTAAAACCCTACCTTACTTTCACAGCAATGATTTAGTTTATAAATGATTTTGTAAAACTGGGGCTTACACATCCTAGAATTGTAATTTTACTGAAAAGAAGCATGCTAAGAGAAGATTTCACTGTTAATGCAAGTATACTGATCTGCTCTGAAATAATACAGAAGATGTATCTGATTTTTGCATTACTCTAAGTAAATATTGCCTATAAAATGCAATGACTATTGAGACTCCACCTTAGTGGCAAACAGTAAATAACTTTCTGTGTGCTTTTTGGTATCTTATGATAAACTATGGAAACACTTCACTGTGAAAACAAAAGCTGATCTCTTATTCTGCTGACTCGTAGTCCTTTATTGCACATTTTTCTTATGTAGCTGAACAATACAGTTCACAAGATAAGATGCAACTTGTCTTCACTAAAAATATTTTTATTCAACATTTATGTTGATATTTTAAGTATCATGCACATTGCTAAGTAGTCACAAGATCAAATGCACTTTGGCTTAGTTTCCATATTAGAAAATTGGAAACTTAGAAGATGTTAATTTTATTATCACTCTGGCAATATATTTGAAAGCATATTGATGAGTATTAATGTCATATGCTTAGCCAAAATAATTCCTGAAGTCAGAGCACAATTTTATCTGCTTTAAAGCTTTAGTAATAAGGAGTTGAATATGTATCTTGATAAGTATTTTATATCTTGTTAGCCAATAGTTGGATACAATTGAAAAGTCTCCTACTGTGTACACAGAAATTATGCTGTATTTTGGTAAAACAGTAATGCTGATGAAAAAAGTGACTGAATTCCAATAGAATCTATCAAAAAAGATCCAGACAAACACAGAAATATTATACAGCTGAAGAATTTTCCAGTTGTCAAGACAAACATTCTGGAGTTTTTATTTGGTTTATTTTAAGAAATTCCAGCCAGTTTGGATAATTATTACATGGAAATCACTATGAAATTATTTAGGTTTCCTTTAACAAAATATTCCACGTTTTTTCTTTGCAATTTTTTCAGTCGCCTAAGAGACTGAATTCATCAAGGAATTAGATGAGAAATGGAAGTTTCTGTTTTAGAAAACAGAATGGCAGCTAGACAACAGAAAACAGATGCCAATTATTTGCCAGAGTCTGCGGTAGAACAAAACATTTCATGACATTTACTTTGCCTTAGCAAAGCTACCATTGTTGTCAGTCAGCAGGTTCAGAAAAGAGAGTCCATATGATCTAGGATTGAACTAAAATTCGTACACTTTGGTAAAGATGACAAGATGAAAAATACATGGTACTTTTTATAGAGTCAGCTATAATAGCACAATCTGGAATAATACTCTCTTGCAGTGTAAGATCAGAGCTGCCTAATAAATTAACTGAAAACAGCATTTGCAGTTCTTGGACTTAAAAGCCACAAAACAGGATTTCTTTTGTCACATATTGAACAGGAAACAGTTCAAGCTGTGCAATGGAAAATAAAATCTTTTGTCAGCACATTAGCTATTTTTATTTGCCCTGAGCATGCATTTGTAAGATGGGCTAGTCTCCATTATATGCCATCCAAGGAACGCAGGAATTATTGCCATGCTGCTTACCTGTAACACATAAAATCATCATGGTATATATTAATGATAGGCCAGCAGTAAATAGTTCTGTTGAGCTAGGACAACAGCCAAAATTTTCAGTTTGGATCTGTAACATTTTTTATGTAGCAAGCACCCTAATTAGATGGTTACACTGACAAAACATTGTATACTGTTTGTGGTTTACCTTTTATAGCAACATGAACTGCACAGATAAAATGCTGTCTGGAGATAAAAACTGTATTCCTATGAGGAATCTATGTCCACATCTTTCTTCCAGCCAGATCTTTCTTAGATTAAAGTCTTAGATTAAAGGCCAAGAATGTCCACCCAAAGGAGCGCCTTGAAGAACTATGCTGGCCATGGAAGATAATGCAGCTGGATGGTTACCTTTTGTTCAGGGCTACGTATACAACACAAAAATGCATGAGAATCACAAGGGGGAAAAATGCCACATTTGTTTACACCTGGTCTTTAAAATAAATACAGAACATAATACCATCATTTCATATGGGAACATCTGCTACCTGTAATATCTGTAGTATCTCATGTTCTTCCCCAACTGAAAGGCTCAATGTAGCAGTGCAACCAGTGGAGGTCCAAGCATGTTTAGTGATGGGGAAGCAGTTACATGTGACCTACCAAAGAGTATCCTTCCCATCAGTCCTCCTGGCCTGACTCAAGAAAGACATGTCTGTAGAGGCCTTCCTAACCACACCGTCTATGTCTTCAGTTCAGCTTGTACTTTTGGACTCTTTCTTTACCGTGGGCCTACCACCACCTTGTCAGTCCACTCCATTTGCACTGTCTTTACATTCCTCCCCCTGAAATACTGACAACTTCAAAGTTAAATGACATCAACCACCTCTCCAAGAGAGTACCAGATGATAAAAATAAATCACCAAATCTCATTCAAAAAACTGTTAGCACAAATATCTGGCACTCACATAAATACAATATATAAATACTTACTAGTTTGGTGGCTGTTCTTCTGAGATACTGAGTGGAGATAATTGCCTGTGAGATTTTAGCAAGGTTTTCTCAGGGTCAATACGTATTATCAAATGAGTCACACCACAGAGAACAAAATAGGTGAACATTGCAGCTTCAGGATGATATCACTGCAGCACAGGGCCCAAATTATGTTTGTAGCTATTTCACACAGTCAACATTTTTTGCAGCTTTAATTCACTGTTTAATTTTTTTTGCATGGCTATGGAAGTCTGCAAAACACACTTACTTTCTGGAGTTTTTTCTCTGAAAGTGCCTGCTTTCCAATAATAGTAGTTGTAGTAGTAGTAGTAATAATAATAATAATCATCATCATCATCATCATCATAATCTTCACAGGCATTCTCATTAATATTTTCTGGAAATTGAATTTATAACTCAATAATATTGACTTTTCTGGCAAAAAAAATCACCTCAGCATGCCAAAAAAATTAAGCTATGACTTTACTCAGAACAGAACTTTTTGTTAGGAAAAAAATGGTAGATTTTCTATTAGTCAAGAATTCCCACTATAAAGAATCAACCTTCACTTAGCATATTTCTTTCAAATTAAGCAAGGGCTAAGCAAGACTAACTCATCCTCCCCAGATGATGAGCCAGAAGGCTGAGGAAGTGGGGCTGAGAGGTGGTAAAGGAATTAATGATGTCATGGGGAACATACTGCTGTGGCCCAACAGTGCATCTTTTACTGCTGTGAATAGTTCCACTGATTTCAGGTGGATAGCCCTGAAGGATTAAGGAATGGATTCATAAATGTTTCAAAACAAGTCCGAGGCCCCAGTCATATTTTAAGTCTCAAAGACAGGGTAGTTTCCATCTAACCTAATAGTTCAGAACCTCCACATGCTCATTAGCTGAGGACCTCTGCCCTCCTTATTAGGCCCAATTTTCTCAGATGAACTGTCAGATGGAATCTGCTGCAAGTGTAAACAGAACAAATTCCATGTCATTAATGGAACAGGTGTTTAATGATTTTGGATGCATCAAGTTTACCCAGCTTCTTAAAAGATCTCTTCTCGTGTATAATAGTGGCTGCAACACCAGGGATGACTTTCTGAAAAGGTTGGCACCTCCCAGTCTATCAAACCATCAGCTTTATGTGCTTGCCTGGTGAATTTATATTAAATAATAGATTTTAAAGTCCTAAAGTTGAGGAACTAAACAGTGCTTAGGATTCCTATTGCTAGCACTTCTGAGGCAGTACTTCAGCCTCCACTGAAATCAATAGGATCTTCAACAATGTAAGGCCACAAAGAACTTAGGATTCACTAACTGCAATATTAAAAATTCACACAAGAAAGGTTATATTTACTTTAGAAGTTTTTTTTTAAACAAAAGTTCATAAGTCAAAAATGCTTTAAATTGTGGATATCTATAGTTTACCTTTTTTTTTGTCTATAAAAGTATGAGCAGATGCAGAATCAAGCTTTTATCACAGTGAGAACAATGCATTTGACTGAAGTTACTTAAGACATACTGGATAGTGGACTTTAGCACAGTTTATTCCCTGATTTTATCCTAGCCATGGCAGAATAAAAGCAAAAGAGTTCAACAGAATGAGCATGTCAAATGACATGGCATCCTCCCAGAAAGGAGCAGGAAGATGAATGAAAGATTCCTATACCAGGATGGGAGAGACTTATTTTGAAAAAAACTTCTGCATGAAAACCTAGATAAAGTTAGACATTATGTCTAAAATGTCTAAAATAAGACATTTTCTAAGTAAAATTAGGTCAACTGCATTTTAAACACTAAATCTCACTCAAGAATGAAGAGTTGTCATGTTTCTGTTACAGCTACTAATCTCTAATTTTATTCAGGTTTTTGTATTAGTGTGAAGGATCTTTGCTGTCAAGAGCAAGTGGATCCATTTTAAGAATCCCAGCAAACTTAGACCAAAATAAAAACTTTCTCTTTTTGATGGAGACTTTTTGTACTCTAATGTCAAAGGTAACATTCTGTCAATTTCGAGTTACAGTTCATTCAGAATAATATTAAACAGATGCTCTCTGTGCAAGGAAAATTTTGACTGAGTTGAGAAATAATCTTTTTAACAAGACACCATCCAGGTACAGATAGAAGTCCTGAAGGAAGCTAATAAGGCTACATTCCAGTGAAGAGCAATGCACACCCATCTCCCAACAGCTTCTTGAAAGCCTTGCTTCTAACACAAGCTGCTAATGATCTATTAGCCAAGTGACTTTGGCCATGAGCAATTGCGGTGTCCCAGCTGTTTTCTGATGCACCACATTGCTTATGGGGGCAGCCAGAGATGGCAAGTATTTCAGCCATCACAGCTTGAAGTCTTTGATATTTGCTTGCCAACAACAAATCAGTTAATCCAAGAAAGCACTATACTGCATTTCGAATAGAGGTTAGGCTCCACTAAATAAGGAGGCTAAATAACACTTTAGACAATCTAAGACTTTTGATACTTGCCCACTATGATGGCAAGTTCTAACATGAGAGAGAAATAAAATAGCACTGTAAACCTATGTTAAATTATCTTAAATCTCTATTTCTGCACCAGGCCAGATGACAGAGTAGGTGGGAATCTAGTGGGCTTGGTGTTAGATATATTCTCAGGCATCAAGTTATACCAATGACACATCTTCTCAGACCTCACAATGAAAGAATTGTTTTAATAGTAGGACAGCACTCTTGCTCATAATGGATCTCTTTGTTTAATAAACATAACATGACTATATGGTCCTGCTATGTAGGACTTGACAGTCTTCTTTTCTCCTCTCAAAAATGCTTAGTCTGGATACTTGACTTCTGCCTTTGATTTTCTGGTAGAGGTCTGCATAAAGAACTTTTTCAGATAGCTGGAGTTTGTAGGTGAAATCATTAATATAGGTTAGTATACTGTATAATCATTCTTTTTCTTTGAGCTTCCTAACATCACCAGTGGTGAAGGAATTGGAAATATCTGAGGAAACTAATTAAAAGTCAGTATTATAAAATGTTTTAAGACCCTTCGCCACCCACAAGTCGCTCTGCATAGCTGCAACCTCCTGCTGCAATTCTAACTCATTAGGATTGGGAATCCCTTGCAGCAAAAGCAATGCATCTGCAAGAGGCAGCCACACTATGTGGATTCTGAACCTCAGTAGGCATGAGAAGGTCATGATTAATAATCTTCACATTCAGACCATCCAGCAAAGTGATGGCAACTAGATCCCACATATTCCCACACATCAACTCCTCTGACATCCTAATTTAATAAAAACTGTGAGACTGTATATCTAAATTTTCAGTGTAGGAAAACAGTGCCCTAGGTTGACCCCATCTGAGTTTGGCAAGGTCTGGGCACAGCAAGACACTTTTGTGGGAGGCAGCCCCAAAGCTGAGCTGACAATGAAGTGGAAGCTGTCAGTTCCCATATTGATTTTGGGTGCTAGTTCTCTCCTCAGAGGTAACATTCTTCCTCAAAGAAGCTTCCACAAAGTTCCAAATGCAGACACTGGTCTTTTTACGAAGCGTAGACCCTTGCTACTCTGGCATATTGAATTGTCTGATGGCAGGAGTTGTTTCTTCCCTGCAAATCAAGAACTTGCCTCTGTGAAAGGCAATAGTTTCCAGCCTTCCTCACCCTACCATGAAGGCAGAGGATCACCTCCTGTATGAACTCAGTGGAATCTCAGAGATCTTTCCTGTTTAAAAACAGTATTCAACTTGCCTCCTCACAGAGCAAAGGGCTGCTTTGAAACCATTCTCTAACATTGTCATTACTGTTGGGGTTTTTTTTTTCCTTGCTTATAGAGAAACAGGAGACAGGTTTCTTGTGCTGATACTAATTACATCAGTGTGAAAAAGATTCCTACTCACAGCAGAGCACCTTTGAATATGGCAAAAATAAAATATATTTTTGTCAAATACAGATGGTCAGCTCATGTTGTCCTTTTTCATCCTGATCTTTTCCATCCTCACTCAAAGAAGAATATTCTTAGCCCATTTTTCATACAGATCATAGCCATCCTCACTGAAATTTGCCTTTAGAGAAATAAGGACTCTGTTCTTTCCTTTTTTATTTTTCCAGATCTCAAAACTAAACCTTGTTTCACCAAATGTATTGGACTTGTTTGGCAGCTGCAATATTTTTGATTTCAAGACTCTCAGTAAATTTAAAAAAGTTTATATTTCATATTTACCTTTCTAGATCAAATTTTCTCCTTCCTTTCTTAGACAAGAACACATTTGCCCTGAATTTTCATTTGTCAGATGAAATATTAGTAATTACAATTGTAGGCCAAATGCAGGTTTTCTCAAACTGTCTTGTGATTTTGGGTAGAAAAGCAACACCTCATATGTTTGTCATGGTGCTTGATCTCTGGTTGAAATACAAAACCTTTTCCAAAATATCTCTTAATAAGAGACCAGCATCATCTTTCTGGCATGTTTCATGAGCAGTAAGTTCTATGTGAAGGAGGAGAAAAAATAAGCCTCAGCTGAATGGAATAACTCTGAACAATCCCACCTGTAATTTTCCCAGCACTGCTATTAGTGCTTGCCAGTCTGGGGGCTGGAGGGAATGCAGCAGTTGCTTCCTCATCCCTTCTAGTATGGCACTGAACAGACTTTTCTTTTAACTATGGCACCAATATTAAGAAACAAGTGGAGAGATCCCTTTTGTCATATTCCCTTGATGCCAGTGTTTTATTTATAGTTGTCTTCTATGCCAGTGTTTTATTTATGGTATTAAATATATAAAGAGATTATAATGCAGCAAAAAAGGCTGTTATGGAAAAACAGATGCTGTTTTGTCCAAGAGCCATGCTTATGAACAAGGCCACCTGGTTTTACACACACTGACTTTGAACCACATACAGAGCAGAGACCTTTTCTTTCTCATTGTTCAATCAGCTATTTTATCTGTGTCCTACAATGGTGCATAAAATACAGGACATTTCTTTCTAAGAATTAACATGAATCAAATCTTATCTTTTAAGAGACAACAGTGTTCTGAGTTTTGTTTTGGTATCAGGCCTGTGAATATTTTTGTTGCCTGGAAGTACATTAGTATCAAACAAAGCATTTATCCCACAAATTATTATGTAATCTTTGTAAATAATATATAAATATTTCAACTTAATCTTAGCTTAGCACTACTTTTAGTACTGAACTCATTTTATTAGCGTTTTTTATTGGAATTGTTAGTAAATCAATCCTACCTTCTCTTCAAGGCAGTCAGCCCCTCCTAGCGGCTGCTCCCGACCTGCAGCAGAACACTCCAGGTTTTCCTGCCATTTGTCCTTGGTCTTCGCTGAGCAGAGCAGTGAAGGTGGAGCTGTGAATTACTTTTCCTTCTTGAAATATAGAAGAGAACAAGGAAATATTTTTTCATTTAAAGTTATTGATAGAAAAAATAAACTGACACAAATGTTTGCATTATTCCTTGCATTTAATCTTGTCCTACTTTTCATAGCCTGAATACTATGAGTCATACAAATGTGAGCTGTAAGAGTCTATATTGCTCGATTACTCATATTCCTCCCTCTGCTACATCAATACTTTTTGAAGTGTTTTGTAAAGCTGAGCAGTAAAAGCCAAACTATTCCATAGACCAAAGGCTGAAAGCCTAAAAAATGCTTGTGGTAATATCCTTCCTTTTTAAATCTTTCCTTCCCTTAATTTCAGCAATGCTGCTCACACAAGTAGTTAAGCACATGTTTGTATGCTTGTTGGAAAGGGTCTCTGTCAGTCAGCCAGGAACACATTTCTGACAATCTGCCTGGTTTTCCTTCCTCAGTTTTACTGCCTGACTGGTTATTTCTGCCATGACGTTTCACCTGTTGAAACTGCCCAGGGATGCTTTTGAACAGCACCCCATGTTGTCGCTGGAGTTGTGACTTCCCCTTTCTTACATATAAACATTATAAAAAAACCACAGAAAAATAAGAAAAGTGTTTCTCTCTCCTCCTCTCTCCGCTTGTATCTTCATTACAGACATGGGGAATGTAAAAACAGGTTTATCTGCTGTCTGTAAGGTAACAGTGCAATAGAAAAACAGCTCACATAGTGATACCTATGTTTTGAATTTATTACATAAGACCCTGTGCAAAACTTAGCTGTCCCTTTATATGTGAATTTTTCTGAAAAAAGTTTAAAGCCATTTGAGGAAAAGAACATAGGAAATTTCAGTAAAATCCACTGGCAGCAAGCTATCAGCTGCATTTCAGGGTATTATCCACCCAGTTTTCAGCAAAGGGCAGAACATCTACTGCCTTTGCTCAAGTTACTGCATATCATCAGCAATTCCCAGATTTTAGGTCTTTGTGTTAAGGCAGTACTCCCAGTGAACTAGTAACTGTGCTTCTGGTAGCCATCTAAAAGTACCAGCAAAAGCCCCAATTTTTAGAAGTAGGTATTTATTGCTTTGTGAGAATAAGGCATCATGCCAGGAACCTACAGAGAGAGCCAACCCAAATCAATAGCTGGGATCTTAGCAGGAGGTTAAGAACCCATGCACAGCACAGCAAGCAGACAAGACAAGCTTCACTTCTGATATAAATACACAATGCACCCAAGAAAGCCTACAGGCATTGAATCTTTTAGGATCATTATAATTAGCTTACTCAAGTACTTTGATATTGAAAGATACAGCCTTATGTGCCAAAGCACATAGGCAACAACTAGCAAGAAAATTTCTGTCTCTAGCCCCTGGGAGGGAGAAAATTTTAGTTACTGTGTTTAACATCAATAAAAGGTTTTTTGAGCAACCTACTTATGATTTTAGAGGGAAATTGGGGGGATATCTTGTGGTCTGAAGCAGGGTGCAATAGCTCTTAAGTCCACATAGATTCATGGTTTCCTCCACAACAATCTATAGGTTTATGGACTGGGGTTTTATTGTTAAACAAATTTCCAAGACTGGGCTTTTAATTGGTGTTATACATATGAAAGTCATCTGACCAATAAATCTTTCTGTAGTTGACTGCTGAAGATGGCTTCAAGCCAATGCTGAAGAATGTTCACCTGAAAGTAACCCCTTCATGTTTCTGTAACAGCTTACTTTTGCTTTAATTATTATGAGTTATTATATTGGTTTTATCTAAACTGAAATCAGGAACTTGCTACACTAGATGTTACCTACAAAGACACTAAGGAGCAGTATTTAAATGTAACTCATATAGGCAAGATAGATTCAAATAAAATACCTCCCAATTCCTATCAGAAACTGAGGCTCAGAAAACAAGCTGAATGAAAACCTTTAATTTTTCTTTATCAAAATATTTTCCATCTATTACAGAATATTTATTCTATCTCTAGAGATACTTGAAACAAGGACAACTTGCATTATTCAATGTTTTAAGATTATAAAATATGAAAGAAGATTATTCAATGTTTTAGAAAGCATGTCCCATATTTGAATGAAAATATGACATTTTTCAGTTTCCCAGAATGTTGACAACCTGCCTGAATTTTGACTCAGGATTATCAAATCAAGCAACCTTAATGTCATTGAGGAAAAATAATTAAACAAACATATTTAAACTTTAAGAAAATACAGAACATATTAAGACCATGCATATGGATAATTCTAGAAACTGGATGCATAGACTTATAGCTTCTTAAGCTACTGAAATTTTTTTTAATTCGAGTGTGGGCTCTGAAGCCAGATTTTGGTCCCATCCTGCCTAGATTGCTCAGTTTTTATTTGCTGGGAAGCTAAACTAAGCTAAAATAAAATTATTTAAAAAATACCAAAACTAACTAATTAAGACCAAACTAAGAAAAATCAATTCTGTAGCTGTCAAGAAAGCCTATAATATATTCTACTCTATCCTGGAATCGGAACAATTTCTAAAACAGCAAAACTTCAACTGACTCAGAACCTAAAGCTACCCAAATTCAATAGAAATTCTTTCAGTGAGTCTAATGGGCTTTGGGTCATGGCCTCATGCATTAAACTAATTTATACAGAAAAAAAATCTATTTCCTTTTACTTTCAATTAATCAGGGAACTGGATATGACCTATTGGTGGAATAGTAAATAATAGAGAGAACAGGTCAGTTGTACAGGGTGACTTGGACCGCTTGCAGAGGTCAGTTCAGATCTAAACATAGGTTTTATTGCAGCCAAGTGCAAGGACTTCTATCTAGAAACAAGGACTATTTGTAAGATGAGAAAAGCTATTGTAAAGAGCTATGATTCTGTCTCCAGATTGATAACAAATGCCTATAATGGTAGATGAGCAGTTGAACCTGATTTCCTTCAGTGAGCTAACATGATCCTTAATTGATTTGCAAGCAAGTGAACATGATAAAAGTGGTAAGGAAGCATTAATGGCACCATTAGTGGAATTCTGTGTCCAGAATTAATATCTGTAATTCTAAAAGTATTCCAAGGAAGTGGAAAGGGTTCTGGAAAGATGTAATGGTGCAATCTTCAAAATATACTCCACTGTGTGAAAGACAGAAAAACACAGCCTAATAGGTTGATTTGACAAAATACCTGAAGACAACATGCTCATTATATATAAAATAATATTTCTGATAATTAGTTGAAGTTTCATCTAACAGGAAAAGCTATAACATGAACAGAAGTGAATCCAAATACAATTTGACTAGAAAAATGGGAGGATTTGAAACACTGAGGAGAACTAAGTTTTGCCAAACAAGATATTACAATTACAATTAATACAATCATATAATTCACATGAAATTATTTTTGTTGCCCTCTTTTACACCAAAAGAATTGTGGTTGATTTAATAAATTAATAGATTACATTTGTTGATTTGTAGTATGTTGGCCTTGATATGTGAGCCAGAAATACAAAGGAGCAAGTTGTGCTATGAGTTAAGAGGGAATCAGTGGTTTGAACCTAGTGCATATGGGGTCTTACACGCAGGGGTGATTTCCTCTGAGGAGTACAACTCATAGATAACCTGGAATAGATAACCTGCACTGGCAGTAAGTATGTCCAGAAATGAGATGCTGAATTGACCCATGTTTGAGTACTGCCGTGTTTGGCAGAGATTGCCTTGCATTTTATTTCAGTGGAGTGGTTAAGTACAGGTATTGGATTATTCTGTTGGTCATTAAACTATCAAACCTCTGAAAGTAGGCTGTGGTTAAAAAGAGCATGTCCGCCTACATATCAGTGGGTATTGTACATGTTTTGAAAGTATTACCTGGGGTAATGTAATGGGGATTTGCTAAGGCTGAAAATGATTATAGATGGCTATAATGTCTTTTCACTTAAGAATCTATGACTTTACAACATTAGAAGAATGAATACATGATAGTTTGCTGAACCACATGCAGGATATTTTCCAGGTTGAGTTTTGTAGTTTATCTGTCTGAGATCATATTGTTAATTATGATTCACCATGGACATTACAATCTCTCGTGTGGGGAACTTTGCATATGCAATGTCACTAACAAATGCCAGGCCTCATTCTCCAATTGCATCCCACTCTGAGTCCTTCCAGCTTGAGCAGCCACATGGGTAAGACACTAATAGAGATGCAGCAGATGTAGAAGACTGAGCAACCTCAAGCATTTGTGTGAAGAAACTTGCTCTGCTTTCACAAAAAGCCAAAGGTTTATTAGGTGTGTACTAGAATGACAGAATTAATGATTCCCTTGGGCACCAAGCAGGTTAGGATCCCAGGAGGAGCTTGTGTCTAGAGGAATCTCACAAGGTCTATGCCCTGGGACAGTAACCCACACAGTACAGAAACAACCTCACCCCAGGGGACCACTGGATAGGTGTTCATCTGTCCACAACACCTGTGCATCTAAAAACTTTAATAAATCCAGCCCTGAGCACTCAGTGGACATGATGCGTGCTGCACCATGTCCAGCAGGTGGTGGGGGAGACCATTCCCCACCACAAGACTTACCACAGTGCAGAGATAGTTGCTGGTATTTGCCACTGACACTGGAATTTTTGCCATTAGGATGATGCAGGGGGACCAGCAGCATTTTCATATGCCTAAGATATAGCCACTGCTTTGCTACCAAGTGCACAGACCAAATATCTCAACAGGGGAAGGGAAACTACCAGCAGTCACCAGCACTACTAGAACAGTTATACATTTATTTCTACTAGTAGGGATATCAAATCAGCTAGGAAATGAAAGTTGTAGTTATTGCAACCATCGTCAGACATTTTTGTTCTGCTTTACTGATCTTTTTCATAGTAATCATGATGAATCAGACTGTGATGAGCAAATAAAAAGCTAAAACCACTAAAAACACAAGGAACTCTAAAGGGCACTTAATAAAACTCCTTGATTTGCTATTTCAACTTTTAATACACTCTATCATAATTAATTTTGATGATCTTAAGCTAAATTAAAAGCAACGGGTAGCACTGCATGGAAGGAAAAGTATAAGGGCACCTTAATGGAGCCACCCAATATAGTGCCCTGTAGGCAACCATAACTTAATTTAAAAGCACACTTGATATGCAGAAATACACCCAAGTAAAATGGCAGGTGATCCTCTAAACAGAATAAGAAGTAGCTGTTGTATCTACCCTCAGCCACAGTAAATTTGTATGAACGCGGTGCTTTTCATTAAGCAATCAATAATATATTTTATTAGTTCCAGAACACTGCATACAACCCACTAGAAGCAATCTCACTCCACAGTTTTGAGTGTGAATACCACAATTAAACCAAGAAAAGATAAATTAGTT